TTAACCACTTAGAGGTTGAATTGGACAACGAGCAGTAAGTGAAAATGAGGCAAGGCAAAGGGACTCGGGCTAGGGCTAATCAGACGGAGAGGTGACTGGGAAGATAAGGCTGAGTTTAACAAAGTCTGTTTGCACAAATTTCCCTTGGCCTCAGCTTCCTGTCCTTGATGATAAGAATGTTATTTTCTTCTGGTACAGGGAAGACATCTTCCACGTGGGGGTTTTACCTCCTGCTTGTGAAAAGAAAAAGTGGAGGCTCAGAACACCCTTTCTGTACCTGCTGTTTTTTTTTTTTTAAAGGCCTTTAGTTCAAAATAACCCTTCTGCCAAAGTGATATCTTTTGCAGTGCTGATTCTGCAACTCTTCAGCAGTATTGAAGTGAAATGACGAGCCCCCAGGAGGCCAGGGAGGGTTTTGAGCAGAGCAAGGAGCAGAGCCTACCTGCGTCTAGCAGAAACACTGAATAGACTGAAGGGAACGAGGAGTGGACATGAGTTAGGAGATTACTCTAGCAAGCCAGAGGAGCAGGGATTGGGTTTAGTGCTATCATGAAGATGGGAGAAACAACTACATAGATTCTGAACAGCTTCCTGACAGGATTTGTTGACCAGAAAGGTATGAGATAGGAGAGAATGACAAGGGTCAAAGATGATGCCAAGGATTTTCAGCTAGAACAATAGCATTGCCAACAACTGAGATAAGGAAGACTGGAAGGGCAGGTTGTCGGGGAGGACTCACTAAGATACATGTGAAATGCTGTTAAACATCTAAGTGGAGATAGTCAGTTATAAATTGAGGAGTAGCTAACAGAGGCTGGTATTAAAGCCACGAGCTTAAATGAGATCACTCCAAGAGTGAGTGTAGATGGAAAAAGAGTCCAAGCACTGAGCCCTGGCGCTTACCTTGAGCATGTGTGATTAAATGTCTTTGTAGTTAGAACTTTTTCAGAACTGCAATTGCAAACCTGGTCAAATATTTTAGAAGTTATAAATCTGATGCAGACCATGCATTTTCCTGGAATAAATGTACTTAAAACGAAAGTTTTAAAAGAGATATCTAATATTCAACACAACAGATAGACTTTTTTTCCCCCAAATAAAAGGGTAGATAAAACTTAATATAAGTCAGCTTTAGGAATGTTTTCTTACCCTGAAATTAAGAGGGCAGAAATCCTGGCATTGTTCTGTGATATATTACGTATGTCCATAAAGAGCCTTATAACACTCCTTATGTATTGGAATTTGGGATGATAGTTTATCTTTGCACTCTCTGTCTGATCTCGTTACTTGTTCTTTGAACAGTATTTTCTTTCCTATGAGCAGTATTTAAATGCCCACACTTGTACTTTTGATCCAATAGGTAAATTACCGCTTAATTCCGTGAAGAAAAGTCAAATGAATATTTTGGCTGAATTTTTACTAATTGCTCAACTACATAATGGGTCATTTTAGTCCAACTAAATAATCTGAACCACTTGCAAAAGTAGCTTCCTGCATTTCCTTAAAAGTTAAACGTCTGATATTCACACTGTTCGTTCATGTTACAATTAGGCTTTTGGCTGTCACTACTATTGCTGTTAACAATGTGGACAATCATGGCAGCGCCTGTAGCTCAGTGGATAGGGTGCTGGCTGCTGGGTTTGAACCCAGCCAGAGCCAGCTAGAGTAACAATGAAAACTGCAACAACAACAAAAAAACAATAACCAGGCATTGTGGTGGGCACCTGTATTCCCAGCTGCTTGGGAAGCTGAGGCAAGAGAATCACTTAAGTCCAAGAATTTGAGGTTGTTGTGAGCTGTGATACCATGGCACTCTACCCAGGG